TAAGCAGTGGTATCAACGCAGAGTACTCCTTTTTCCAGATTTTATGGGTTTGGGGCCCGCAAAATTGTTGAGAAGCCCCCCTAAAATTTTTTCGGAGTGCGTGGCTAACGCCACGCACCTTCATTTGAAAATTTTTTTTGCCGCCCCCCCCCCCGAGCCGAAATCCTGGGTACGCCACTGACAGCCATATATAGGTAGCTCCATTCTGGCTTTTAACCATAGTTTTCTGCGAACCACTGACTTTCATAGCTTCTAGCAAAGCTATATTTTTGTATTTTCAACAATATAAAGCTAAATGTCTGTTTGTATGTCTGTCTGTCTGTATGTCTGCCTGTGCGTATGTTCCGAATAGAAAATTTTATTTCTGCACCGATCTGGACCAAACTTGACACACATAAACTTCGGGGCAGGGCGGGTGTCATAGGCTATTTTTCGTCATCGATCGATATCGATTTTATCGATTTTTATCGATTTTTTGTAAAGTTTGATCTACGGGGCTGGGAGTCGGCAAAGGGAGGAAATCGAGCATGCTGATTACGAATACAATATTGGTTCTTAAAACTATCCATTGATTTTATCGATTTTTGTAAAGCTTGACCTGAGGGGCTGAGAGTTGGCAGAGGGGGGTAATCGAGCATGGTGCTTACTACCTAATACAGCGGGAATAGGGAATATGTAGAAGTGGGCAAAGGGAAAGATTGTACAGGGATAGGGATGGGAGCTTTATCATGGCGTTTTGACAGGGCCGGGCGGAGCCGGGTAAGACAGCTAGTTTCTTATAATCCTGCCCATTGTTGCTGAAATGTAACGATCTCATTAAGAGTTGCTATTCGCTTAGAACATTATAGCGTCTTCGGTGATAGCAAATTCTAGGTAGGATCTTTTCCCAAAGATATTATCTGGGCTACACATAAAGATCAAAGGTCAGAGTGAGGCATCATTATTTTTTGTCGTAGAGAAGATTGGAGGTGGAAGCTGCAATCCACAAATTTTCTATGTGTTTGAAAGTCGGTGAAAGCAAATAGCCAAAAGTTTTTCTGATTTGTGCTGCCTTTTTTTAGTTTCACTGGAAAAGTCTTAAATCCGTCAAGAATTTTATATCGTAGTATCGTAAGTGTTAACACGTTCAAAAAAAAACTTGCGATAAACTCTTCCTTCTTTCAACGACAGTAATAATGAGAATGTGTTTTGAATTTTCATTGTTACTAACACTTGGATTTGCAGCGGATTCTACAAACATGTGAAAGTATGTATGCAGTCTTTGAGGATGAGAAGCAGCATTTAATGGGCGATGTTTTATTATCTTGGGCAATGAAGCAACAAAGGGTAAGTAAGGGAATTTTTATGCAAACACTAAAGTAAGTGGCACTCACTGTACGTCTTTGATCTCTTATGGAAACAGAGAGTTAAAAATTCTTTATCCTGCAATATTGTCAAATTAACTTCTAGTTTATCTAATTCTCCATTTTTGATAAAATGGAAAACTTTCAAAGCGTTTTTATAGACTATTAAATTTTTTCTTCTATCTTGTCACTTTTTATATAAGCAGTAATCAATTATTTGACAAATTTTGGGGGTTTCAATTATAACTTGAAATTTTTTCCAATTGTGAGGAACAATCCAGTGGATGCGTTGGTTTTATCACGACTTGCTTACTATGAAGACGAGACTAGATTATTCCTTTTCAATGCAATTTCAGGTCAGCATAGGAACTCTCTGGACACAACAACTACATTACAAACAACTCGACGTCATACATCTACAGTAAGAATTCATAACATTGTTTCATTTTTTGGCTAACATCCAAAAAAGGCTGTCATTACGTGATGAGACTTTTCTAACATACGACGAACTGGTTTATAATTGTTGCCGATGTACCAAGTGTCTCTGGAATTACTCAGGATAGTTTAGATTTGAGTACTTTGGAGAGCTCCTTCAACAAACACTTTCGGGACTGACGTATCTAAAGCAGTATTTCCCAACGGCATCCTTTGATGAGGTGAGGAATAAATTTTGATGATAATTTATGCATAAGCCTACTCTCATGTAGACCCATACATAATCGAATCTTTCTTGTCATTCTGCACCCTATAAAATTTACTGTAAAGTTGGGTTGAAAAAGTAGAGGAGAGAAGGTGTGCAGTACTCATAAATGCTTTTTAAGGCCTACAACAAATTCTGCAGTATGGCACACTATTTTTTGTACTACTCGGTTATCGTGAGTAGGCAACCACCATCAGTCATTGTGAAATGTGGAGAGGCAGAAAATCACCGACGGAGCCGGTTTTGGTTTAACACTGAAATAAGGTGACTTATCAATCTTTTACGTCAGCATCACAAGAGATGACTCATCAATTTACTGCAAGTATGAAACACATTTTTGCAAATACTTTTGTGGATTGGAATCATCAAGTAAGATTCTTGCAACCTAATTTTCCGACCCTCTTATAAAATGAATAAACGATAAGAGTATTTCTTCGAAAAAGCTTCACACGCCTATATAGAAATGTCTTCTCTATCTTACATGTGCATGTTATGTCCGAAAAGAAATCTATTTACAAAAATGAGCCTGCATGAGATTGCTTGTAGCAGCTTCAAAAAGCATAAGTACTTCATTCAATTTCGAAATAATTTTTCTTCTGAAGTAACTCCCCATTGTTTATCCCATTCCAAAATTCTTTCCAGTGCAGCATTATTTTAGGGTGCTAGGAGGTCAAGCATTCGGTGTTGAAGCAGTAGGAGAAGGCAATGAGGTGAAATGCTTTCTGATCACGGACGACACAGCAAAGCAATTGCTAAACAACGCTTATCTTGAAATGTAAGTCCACACGTAATTTTTGTTACTCCCTGTTTTGAACAAGATTTTCTCAGCTTAAAATGATAATGTAACTTAAAATGTAGTAGTATGATATGCTTAAGAAGATCAGGGCCTCTCAAAAAGATGTGCCTACTGTTGATCGCTGAGAAGCTTTGGTACCGTTTCTTCAACTTAGATTTACTTAGGACGCGAATTAAGAATATATCTTCAATATTGTAGAAGTACGGTAAGAACTTGCAGCATATGGCGCCAGAGATGGGCCGTTCGAAAAAAAATTTCAAAAAATGTGTAAAATTGTATAACGTTTTAGTGCATGCTGATTTCACCACTTAACTTGTTGTGTGTCCTCAGAGCTTTTTGAATGGCGTAAACAAAATTTTGACGAGTATCAGAAATGGTTGCAACGGTATACCTGGCATAACATATGAAAAATGCGTTACTCGAGTTTTATGTATGGAATCAGCCACGTCACTCTGATAGTGTAGTGTGAGAGGTTTCAGCTTCTTTAGTTCTATTTCAGGAATGAATTATGATCCTTATTTACTCAAAATCCTCCTCAAAGTCTCTATCGTAATCCTACAGTAACTTGGAGCGATTGGTGAATCTCTCCATTCAGCGAATCTAAGTTGAAGCCAACTCCACAAAATGGTGCCTAAAGCTTCTCAAAAGACTTCATTACAAGAGAGTTATTAACAATCAAACAGTAGACGCATCTTTTTGGGACACCCTGTATATTAATTTGCAAAAATATTGCAATAATCTAATATAATATGTTTCATATGTCATTATTATTTACGTAGTTTATCTACTGAAACTTATTTTAATACACATTAGATTCGAATCGGAGGAGTTTTGCATTGAACCACCTTCTGCTGTATTCCAGAAGAAAGACACGAGGGGATTGCGAGCCAAATTCGATGATATGGTAGTTTATTTTTTTGATGAGACACTATTTTTTGACATACGTCAATTTTCAGCGTGTTGCCAAAAAAGTACAACTTCGACGAGATTCGGTAGCATCAAAGAGGTACTGTCTCTGTTACAGTATCCGATTAAAAACAAATTGTGGCTTGGAGCTGGTCGGAAAGAAGGTTTGACCCTACCATTAACACTTTAGCTTATGTTATAAGGCGAACCTTTGCAGGTCTCGCTTCCGTTTGCAGTGTTGGTTGGTCCGAAAACAGATGTAGAAGCGAGACTTTTCTTGGAGAGATCATTTGCAGACTTGGTAAAGTTTTTAACGGAATTCGTTAGCTATTATATTGTATGATAAATTTTTTTTGCGAGGAGGCGCCAATAATTTCATAAGCACTCTAACATGCGGTCTTTTTTACCCATTTTAAAGAATTTGGCTGTTAATGATTCACTTCTAGGTCCGGCATCCGCTATCGGACATTCCGACTCATGTTCCTTGTACGGAGATGGCAGATGCATTAGAGATGAAGTTTCAGGTGATTTATTGTGTAATTTACTGTATCAACTTTACGTGCGTATTTTTTAAAGGGTCTTTTATGTTTTTCTATAAGCTTTGTAAAGCTTTTATACCATACACAAGCATAATTCGTTATTTTTTCGAAAGGTCACACATAATGACCGAATCTGTATCACTTAAATCGATCGGAATCAGTAGTCCTTTCTTAAACAGCGATAGAAACTACTGTGTTTCTGTCCTATTAGTCTAGACTGACACAACAAATGATCGATTGCTCTCTACTTCAGAAACTTCCAACATAATGCCACTGTGAACTTGCCCTATTTACAAAATCTCAAAAAAAAAGATTTAAAAAGCTGTGCAGCAGATTCTCACGCATGCTAATTCCACTAATCGACTTTTATCAAGCTCTGTAAATGTGGTAGTCACATTTCAAAGAAAATTGAAAAATCAGTTATTACGTTTTTAATGTGAGTCATAATAACAGGATACGGGTAAGTTTGGAGTCGTATTTAGAATCGGCGACATTAATCTAGTATAGTAGTTTCAATTTGAAGCCTGCCTTGCAGATTGGTATTTGAAGGTAGTCGAACGAGCCAATAAGTATTAAAAATCAGAAAATGTGCACATTTCTTTGGGCACCCTGTTGATTGTGTAGTTAAAGAGGCAGCGCTGCCTCGATTGACTAGCTTACTTATACTCCACATACAAGTTAAGTCATGCAAACCTTATAATTTCTCCAATTTAGGCTATAGTGGAAACGCCCCAAAAGAACACAGATGGACCAGCAGTTGTGCAACCGCGAATGTTCACAATGCAGGTAGAGACATCTGTTGCTATGATGGTCCCTTTCACGAGCTTGCTACAAAGAAAGTTACTGAATGTATTCAACAAATGTTCAATGATTTTAGGCCAAACAACACCTGATCAATCGCTTGAAACCAAACCCGCAGGGATTTATAGCTCTGGATAACTTTATGAAGGTAAGCGTAATCAAACTGGTTGATAAGTTTTGTTGTCTAACTCTGGTAGCACAATGATCGGATTTTTAATATTTGGAAAAATAATTGCAGCTGCCAGTGGCGGAGGAGTACCAACTACGTAAGAACTCCACAGAGGGTGAATGGAAGCTGGTGCCTTTCTTCGAATGGTTCTTCAAATTAGCAGAGATAGTAAACAAGTATCTGTATAGCATGTGGTACGACGGGTAAGTGGCCCTTTTCTTCTACATTACGAAGTTCGAAATTATCCGCTTTTTCAGGTTAGTCTTCGGATTCTGTAGCAAAGAAGATTCTGAGAATCTATTGCGATGTATTCCTCGATCTGTACTTCTTGTGCGATTCTCAGACATTGAGTACGGCAAAATTAAAATCTCCGTCAAGGATAGAAATGGAGGTTAGCCATAAATAGAGAATCCTACGGACATTTCAGATAATTCTGTGCAAACTCCGTTCCCAAAAGCTAGAATTTTAGATATCCGGCATCACTGGTACGAGCACAGCGATCTCAATGCTCGTGTCTTATCTAAAGAGCTGCTCATCAACCAGCGTTTCGCACAGATAGATTTGATATATCCCGACATTGACCTGGAGGTAAAGATATTTAGCTACTATGTGATAATAAAAATATTCCATGCTATCAACAGGTCGCTCTTGGAGGACGAGAGAAACCGCGTATAAGGGTACCACGGAATTTGCAACCAGACGAGATTTACTTCGATAATCAGGGCGCAGCTACGTCAGCTTTTTAGCGACGAAACTCTGATTCATGGAGTGATCAGCGAAATGAAAAGTGCATTCGTGAACAATAAAGTTGTCAGGGTTTCAATAAAATACAGAAAATGAATAATTTTGGGTAAAATAGGACAGTGTCTTCGTTACGATTTACCATTGCTTGTTTACGACCGCGTGTTGTCTGAAAGGGAATCCGCCTATTGTTCTTGCGCCTTTTATTTATAGCATTGGACCTTCTGGAAGCTGCGCAGAGGGCATTCAGGTTTTGCGAGAGCTTCAGACAACTCCCTGGGTGTATGCGGTAAAGCTATTCAGAAAGAGTCAATGCGCTACTTCTTTTGAGGAAAAGAGTTCACTGGAGTTCTACACTCATACATTTTTTCAATTCATGATTATAGTTGAGTGAGTGGATCCAATAGCAGAGCTTGGATTCAGCGCGTTCGTTGCACTCGCACTTGAATGTTCTACTCAACAAATCTGTGCTTGGTACGAGAATGGGGAACGACCTAAGCTTTCAGAACAAGTTATATACCTCAAAAATGAACTACTGCAGGAAACGAACAGCGCACATCCCTGCATTCATGCGCAATCTGTTCTATGAAGTGCGACACACATGTGTCTCAATCAGGTTCAGGCCAAAGCGTTAGCGTAACTTTGCGCGCTAGGCAGCGTTAAGAGTTCGCGCTGCAGATGAGCAGTTCTGTTGACGAGAGCGAGAAGATTGAAGAGAGAGAGAGAGAGAGCAGACAAGCAGAGTAAACCTAGCGGCGCGGACTCCCGCCATCTTTAGATTATAGAGAAGGTAGTGACATCCGAACAGATTACCAACTTACTGATCTATGCAGCTGCATAATTTTGTTTTGAAGCGGTTGTTTCAGGAGGTGAGTTTTGCTCAAATTGATGCTAGTACAATTACAGAGATAAACAATTTTTCAATCTGATATACAGTCATAATTGATGTTAATGATTATTTTCCTATCGGAAAGTCTAATACTCGCGGAGGACGTATGAAACTAGTGCTACCAAGAGCAAAGTCCAGAGTCAGAGCAAACTTTTATGCTTGCCGTGTTTTACGCGATCTTGATCATATGGTAAGGAACGGCATGTTGACGGTCAAGCTACCCTCGATATCATCCCATATGTCTTCCCTCAACATGACGTGGATTACGTGGCTTGATGAGGCGCCGCCTCGCCTCGGGCTCGCGCCACGTTGCGAGCGCATCATTTGGCGCGACGTGGCGCTCAACACAACGTGGCGCAGGCTTTTCCACGTTCTTCTTGTTGCCACATCACGCCGAAAATGCGCACGCAACGTGGCGCAAGCCCGAGGCGAGGCGGCGCCTCATCAAGCCACGTAATCCACGTCATGTTGAGGAAAGACATATGGGATGATATTGAGGGTATCTACCTTCAAAACAAACATTAAGAGCTACTTACAATCGAGAAGCTGCGTTTGATCTTTTACACCTCAGGCTGGTTTTTTTAATCATGTCGTTAATGTGTTCTGTTTTATTGTTCTGTTTTTGTTTTACGTTTTTGTTATTATTGTTCGACCTTCCACATGGGGGTCCCCCTATGTAACAATAAATAAATAAATAAATAATTGACGACACTTGGATGTGAGCAACCGTGCAAAAAATGGACCACCTCCTACTGGAATTGTAAAAGTGGATCTACACAAGTTACCAGAACTGGAGACTTGTCCCCTGTGAAAATTGAGTTCATGTAATTTTTGTAAAACAGTGAGTATGCTTAGTTATATGTGACCGATTATTATCTGTAGGAGGGTTATTGTAAGTATACACTGCTATAATTTGTGATGGAAATCATTGCACTCCGCGGAAATTCGTGTCGCATCCCTATGCCTCGCATCAGAGTGTACGAATTCTAAACCAAGGCATCAATTAACTCAGGCTCAACGAAATCATCGATGTATAGAAGTGCTTGTTTGGGCAAATAGTCTGTCAGTGCTGCAGGTTACACGTTGTGCAATGATTAAGCACTTTAAGTAACATAGGGTAAGCAATAATTAGGAAAAAATATAAAATTTTATCAACCATCCTGCTCAAACAGGCACTTCTTTGTATCGGAAAATTATCCCGTCGAGCGGAGTCGAAGGGTGCTTTCGGATCCAGAATTCGTTTACTGTGAAGCAAAGGGCGATGCAACGCCAAGTTCGTCCAACTCTAACGGGGTGTAGTGATTTTCTCCATCAAGTATACGAGCGGCATAGAAATTGGGATATCGTTTAGACAGGGTCCCACTACAGCAGTTTATGTGGATGTCAATTTTCTCAAATCTCCTTTCACAACGCTTTCGAAAGTCTTTTTTCTCAATAATCTTCTCATTTTGTTGAGTGCTGCAAGGCAGACCTTATAGCATTTTACTAACTGTTGGTATCCTTGGAAAAATACCAATAGTACCATTTATTGCATTGGGAAGATACCGTTTGCATACAAGAAAAAAAGTAATGAGTGAAACAAACGATGATCGCTGTTTGGATAAAAACTCGTGAGTACGCGATCAGCTCCAGTTGTGTGCACAAGTACAACTTGTCCCGAACGATCACTACAAAATTGTCATGGATGTGCGCATCACAATGACCTCATCACGCTTGCGAATGATGTGGCAAATTTGACAGGAGCTATCTGTACCTCTAAGATTCCGAGCATACTTCACGCGATTCGGCAACACTTTAATTTATATGACATCGTAAAGCGCCTTATGAATACACGGAAGATAGGGCTTTTTATCAATCTGCAAAAGCTGTACATGCTAGGTGTTTGTGGTCTATACTGTCTTTACTTATGTAAGACGGATGAGAAGAATGAGAAGACAAGCCGTATTTTGAAGACATCTGGCAAACTGCCAAAACGCTTGGCGACGATTTCTCCCCTCCACTATCTGACAATGTCTTGTATGCGCATATGTAGCGCAAACCCAACTACTGCTGACTGTTTTTCCCCAAAGTTCTGAACTGCTTTCGGTAACAAGCACTGTTATGGAGATGAGACAACTTTTGTAAGAATCCAGCTCACAGTGTGTTATTTCTGACAACAATTGTTTGAGTCAAGGTCCCTCACTTTGTTTCATGGTCAAAAACATGCTCATGAAAATCTTTTATCTAAAAACTAAACTGTGGTGCAAGTGCAGATCTCACCTTTCACATTTTTCTCTTAGGTGAAGGTTTGTTTACAAATATGCTGATTCTTTCTCTTTCTAGAAAAGGAACGGAGCAAATGTAATATACAGGGTGTCCGTAAAGTATGTATACTGTTTGATCGTTAGTATCTTTTCCCAACAAGTCTTTCCCTTGCTTCAGGTACCGTCTTGTAGAGCTTTCAACTTAGATTTACAGTATGGAGCGAATAACCGATCGCCCTTCATTACTGTAGGATTACGGTAGAAACTTGAAACATATGGTGTCAATGTGGAAAAAGCTGCCGTCTCAAAATTTTCAAAAAAAGAAGAAAACTTGCGTAATAGGGTTTTTATGGACGCTGAGTTCAATACTCAGCTATTCAAAGATTGCGAAGCTTTCTAGACGGTGTAACCGCACGTTTTAGGAACATCGAAAAAATGGCCGCTACCTCTTACCCGGCATAACTCTTCAATGAAGCATCATAATAAGTTGGGAACTTTAAATTAGAATCAACAACTCTAATTAGCCTAGTGCAAAAGCTTTCAAGCTGTTTTGTTTCCTTTCTGAGGCAAAATGGCCTTTCTTGGCTCAAAACCCTCTTAGAAGTCTCTACCGTAATCCTACAGTAATGAAGAGAAATGGGTGATTCGTTCTATAATGCAAATGTAAGTTGAAGCCAGCTCTACTTAGTACTTGAAGCAAGGCAAAATACTCGGGAAGAAGGATTTAACGACCAAACAGTGCATACATACTTTACGGATACCTTGTATATGAAAAAAATTTAGAGCATCAAGATATTTTTAGGCTCATTAGCAATGACAACTACATAAGAATGACTATTAAAAGACAGGTGGTACGACTTTTGATTTTGGCCAGAGCTCTCTCGAATCGAAGACACACAAACCTACTAATACATATTTGATGGACATACTGTCGCAGCCAAAATCTATGCGGTGCTTCCCGCGTTTTTTTCGTAGCTGGAAAATTGAAGTTATTTTGTAGTGATAGAGGCAAAAGTATTGAAGCAGTTATGATACCAGCTGTACTTCATACTTCCTCTTGCGGTAAAACACCTTGGAAAGACTGCGCGAGTCCACCAGATCGTCTTTGCTACAAGTTGGAAAAAAATGATATATGCTGATAATAATGATTAGTTATGTTACATACTCCTTGACTGCGACACAGAGAGTTGTGAAGCTGGTGTTGAATTCGCATGCGCCTGACCACTCTTTTAAACTCCAAAGGAATTCGTAAGCCTTTTTTGCAAGGCGGCATTTATACTTCTGCAAAATAGTTAGATCGATAGTCCATTAAAATACCATTATGGATTGCAAAAATCTGAAAGGCCAACCAGTCGTCCGTTTTCCCGCTTGAGCATACTCCTCAAAGGATCTTTCAACTGACTTTCATGTGTACAAGGAGAGTGCTGTAGTGGTGAAGTATTTTCGAACGCAGGAGATCTAGCTCCAGAAGATTTGTTGGCTTTGGAAGAAACAGGATTGGATGTAGTGGTTATGGTAGAGTCATGTGCAGGAGTCTCGCCTCCGAATTTGAGTGTACCATCAAAAGAAGAGTTGTTTCCGACTCCGAAAGAAAGAATAGTCTCATTTTGGTAGTCAAGTGAACCAACGACAGAGGTTTCGTTTCCGATATCGAAACCGGTGGAAAATATGAAGGTTTTGCTTCCGAATAGAGAGGAAAGTATGCATAATACCTGAATGCCTTCTTTCACTTAGTGATCGAAATACATGCCCACTTACGTCATAGATAGGACACTGTTCAGTCATGTGCTTGTGGCCGTTTTTAGGCCCTAGTAGCTGTTCAGCTATTAATATTGGCGTAAAAGTGGTCGCTTTTTCATAAAGGTATTTTAGTTTTGCGTTTTGCAATTGATGACAGAAATTATAAAAGCACATCTCCATCAGCAAGGGTACCATGGTGCCCTTTTCCAAGTTTGT